CGTCTGGGAGGTCGGCGGCTACCTTGGGCGGCCTCGCCTTCCTCCCCCCTCGCCCCATTTTAAAGTGGGTGCGGGGCCGGGGAGCTGGCGGTTAAGTCAGGAGGGCCAAGTGGGGCAGCGGGCTGGCGCGGCAGGGGCGCGCTCGCTGCGGCCGTTCTGCGCCGCGGTGCACGGAGCGGGGGGTCACCCTCGGTTAGCAGGCGACCTTAGTAAGGCTTTGGATACCGAGGCGAGTCAGGACTGGAAGAGGGAGTGCATGAAACTTTTTTTCCCTGCAAGGCGATGCCTTACTCGGAGAGGGGAGAGGACCTGCTGTGTGGATTACGAGTCCCGTAGGTTCTTAGTGCAGTGTCGCTTCCCTGGGGGTGCGTTCCCCAGTGGTGGTCGTGTCGGCTTTCTTCCCCCAAGGTGGTGCTACTTGTTGTCAGTGTCAGCCTCCGCATGCTCTTTTTCTCCCAGTTAGGTGGTTGTCAAGCAGTGGAGGAAGGGAGGGCGCAGGTGTTCACAGGGCAGTGGCGGCAGGTCTTGGGAACCATTATGATAAAGTACCTGTGGTGTTACCTTTTTGCACGTGCTTTTTCCAGCTCCTGTGTATTCAGAGCACTGTTCTGTTTGGAGCTATTATAGTTAGTAGCAGAAGTTTTCAGGCCATTTTCTTATAGCTGCTGTCCTGATAGCTCCGTGTCAGCCTTGAAAACAACAGTTCTGAGTAGTTTAGTTCATGAGTCGTGCTACAGATGTCAAATGAAGCTTCAAACAGTAGTTTAAGCCTCAGCATTAAGGATTCATACACCTTTTCTTCCAGAAGTACCTGGATTATGTTAGTGTCTTATTATTGACTGCTTTCTCTTTCTTCTTTGGTGTTAGTGTCTCAGTTCTTCTCTGTGTGTTTGGTACAGTGTGGGAAGAGAACATCAAATGGTGGAGTTCATTATAAATTTGGGTTGTTACTGATCATACCAACATTAATGGTTTGTTTTGAATTTGCATGCTAGGGCTTGGTCTCTTCCTGTAGTTGCTATTGTAGTAGGCATGCAGGATGCACATAATGAAAGATGTCTAATACAATTTAAGAAAAAAAAATCACTTATAATAGGCTAATGTCTTAGGTTCTTGTAACTCAAGAAAGCTACTGCATGATGTACCAATACAGTGTTCCACAGACTTCTTGCAGAGCTTAAGACCCAAGTATATTGTACATTGTACGGGTTAGATGAGTAGAATCTCCTGTGGCTGTGGTGCAACAAGCAGCTGGAATGAAATGTAACAGACTTGACTGAATTCACTCAATTTTCTTTCTGTTGTTCTTTTGGTTTTTGTTTTGTTTTGTTTTAATATGTAAAATAATGTGATGTCCTGGTAAAGTCAATAGAAATTGTCATTATGTGGCTAGTTTTCATTCTTGTAATCATTTGTTTTGAAGAAACTTGTTATAAGTACTCTGGCTGGTAGGAATATATTCCACAGTGTTTTATTGTAGTGTTGGTTTTCACTCTGAGATTTTCTTACAAAACAGTATTTGAGGATTGAGTCTAGATTCAAAAAATTATTGTGCTTTCCAGAACATATGATGCCTGTGAAGTACGTCCAGGACCCAATCTGAACATGATTGTAGGTGCTAATGGAACAGGAAAGTCAAGCATTGTTTGTGCCATCTGCCTGGGACTGGCTGGAAAACCTTCTTTCATAGGGCGAGCTGATAAGGTAACTATGAACTTTTGTAATTTTCATGTTTAATCTGAATTTCATTAAGAGTCCTGTCCAGCAGAGGGGGGGGAAAAAGACTGTCTTCCTTGATTTGCTTTATTTTTATAAAAAGTAAGGTGTCCAAATTGTAGAATAACCTGGTCTAGAGACAAAGGCTTTTACCAAAGGTGTTTTGTCTTACTTAACTACTTGTTGTCTTGGCAGAATTATGAAATGGAAATACCTGAATTGTACTGAAATCTGAGTAGGCTAGAAGTTATATTTGAAGATGTCTGAGCCTCCACAGT